AAGAAAAAGGGGCTTTCATCTGGCCCCGGGCATCTCCACAACATCAGCCGAGGGCGAGTCAGCATAAAAAGGTTGAGAAGCTTCTGGAGCAGGCAGAAGGAGAGGTACTTCGGCAACAGAGAGACCTTGAGCAACATGAGGATCAGGGGCATGGTCCGGCGGGGCCTCTTCGGACAAGTCCACTATCACTGCCTCGGGCAGATCCGCCGAGACTTGCACCGGCGTTGGGATCTCATCCTCGGCAGCAATCTCTGCTTCGGCCCGTTCCATCTCTGCCGAGGGCACGTACTTGTGCATCTGGAAGAGCGGGGAGTCTGACGGGATTCCAGCAGACTGGAGCGCCTCGTCCCACCCTTTCTTGAAGAACTCCTTGCTGTTTTCCTCAAGAGCAGGGAGCACGTCATCGGCGAACTCTTCCCGGAGTTGCTCCTCCGACTTCCTGTTCAGTGCCTCGGCTCTGATCCTGTCCAGCTCCTGGGTGAGAGCCAGACAGCTTTCCTCTGAGCCAACCGCCCTCTCCTCCGCGGCAGAAAGCCGCCGCGTCTGCTCGGTGATCCTCCCCTCAGCATCGGCAAGGGCAGCACTTAGCTTTTCAGCGCCAACCTTAGCCGACTCGGCATCCTTGAGGAGTTGTTCGATTTGAGCAGCCTGCCCCGCCAGGGTAGAATCCCTGGCAGCTACGTCCTCCATTGCTCGGGCGAGGGCCCCCTCCGCCTCTTCCTTCTGCTCTCGGGCCCGCTGGAGGTCCATCCTAGACCCATGGTACCGCGCAGCTATTATGGAGATCTGTTGGGTAGCCTGCAAAGGAGGGAAAAAGCGTATCACAAAAATGGAAAGCGAGAGAGAAGAAACCAAAGCAAAAATGAACTTACCACCAGGGAATTCTGGATGATAGAGCGGAACAACACGTTCGTTGATCGCCCCCTGTGAGCCGCCATGTCAGCCTCGAAATGCAGTGTCTCACTCACTGCATTGGCGACATGAGGATCCAGCAAAATGGAGTCATCGACCCTGATCACTCGGTTCATGTGATCGGTGGCTCGGGGATTCCACTCCGCGGCTTCCACTGTCGGCGGAGGGGAAGGGGGAGTCTGCTGCTGCCGTTGTTGCTGTTGTCGTTGCTGTTGCTGTTGCGGAGGAGCAGGGGGTAACCCACGGCCTCTCCCGCTTTGCTGCTGAGCGGAAGATGCCCTGGATCCTCTGCCGAGGCCATCGTGCCTATGTTTGACCCTTCTCTCCTCCTCTACCTGAGGATCCCGGTCACGCACTTGACCCCGACTGAGAACTCTTGAGGATGGGGTGGAACTGGTCCCTGCAGATGGGGCGCCGCCGGTCGATCCTCGACCCCTCCCGGCAGCAAGGGCTTGCCTCTGCCTCAGGAACCCCAGGTCAATGCGAGGCGTGCTGGACATCGCGACCTCGAGGGCGTCCTCGGCGTCTAGAGATTGTAGAACTTGGAAGTCCGGCCACAAATCTCCTCCCGAAGTCCCCACCTCGGCGTCCGAAGGAACAAAGTCCTCTCTGACCCCGAGCTCTTCAACTACTCCCTCTACTTCTGCCTCCGAAGCCCGATCAGGGTCTTCTTCCAAGTTTTCCTCGACCTCTTGCCTCGCCGCCTGATCGAAGAGTTCAGACCACCGCGAAGGCTCAAAAGGCTGAGGAAGCTGTGAAAATTTCTTATACCCGGGGGTGTAATTCAGCAGGATGTGGGCAGCCCGGCCGAACCCGTTGTCACCAGTAAATCTCCAAACCGTGACTAGGTCGGCAAAGTTCACCAGCGACCGAGGGGGAGGAGCTGTTTCCCGAGCAGGAATATCTGCACAAACAAAAAAGTAGTCATGAACATGGGAAATCTGGAGAACAAAATAATAAACCCGAAGGAACCGACGTACTTGTCGTTCTCCATTCCAGAGGGCATAACAAGCCGTTATACTCGGGACCAACACCTCTCTGCCAAGATCCCTTGAAAATAAGAATATCGTCCTTGTACCCCTTGTCCGAGTCGGGAAGATGAGTTACAAGGTACATGGAGGGGTCCCTGGCTTTGAGGTAGAAGTGTTGGTGAGGCATGACTCTCAGGAGGGAATAACAAAAAAGGAGATCGTTGAGCCCAATATTTACCCCGAGACGCCTATTGAGCTCTAAGACCCCCATAATTATTCTGAAGACATTAAGGCAACACTGCCCGGGGAATAGGCGGAAGTGAGAAAGGAACTGAAGAAGTAAAGGGGGTAAAGGAAACCTAATTCCTCCCTCTATTATGGCCTTGGTATAAAAGGGCATAGCATCCTCGGCCCCGAGGGTAGGAGAGTGCACCACCGGGTCATAATCCTCTATGTCTACGCACGGGGGAATGCCGTACTTGATCTTAAACCTATTAATCTGCTCACCACCCTTTACTTTATACTTTCCCGACCCCGAAGAACCAGCCTGAGGATTCTCGGGAGCAGGGCGACGACGAGGCATCTCTAAGAAAGTGAGAAAGTGGAGGGTGTTTTTCCTTAAAAATCCCTGAGGAAGCTTCCCGAGAATTAGGTATCAACCGGAGACACCTCCAGTCATCGGAAAACAAAAAGGGATAGGAGGAAGAAAAGAAAGAAACTAGGACTCACTCGAATGTCAAACGGAGTTTTTTCTGAAAAACTTTAGGCGACTCCTTCCAGAAAGTTCAGAAGCAACGATGGGTCTGCTGGCCTTAAGACTTTAAGGAAGAATGGGCAGTCGACGATGGAAGAGGAAAAAGATCTCCGGCGAAGATTCAGGAAAAGGCTCTCTTGAGGAAGTTCGGAATGGCGAAACAAGAAAATGCAAGAGGAATTCCATTTATATAGTGGCAGTTTCATCATTGGGCGCGAAAAACGAAACGGCGCATTTAATGCACACGACATCCTAAGCCGGGGAAAGCGGCTCGAGGCAATGATGAAGCATTTGTGGTTGTTGGGAAACCCTTCGTCTCCTTACAACGCGTGCCCTCGGTGTCAGAAGATCGAAGGCTGGGGGGCAGTTGATGGGACTTTTCTGAAATGCTCCATGATGAAGACACGTGTCCTCGGTATTACCAAAACACTGTTGCTAAGATCAAGCACCATCGGCGCACAAGGTCCTCGCCCCCGAGGTACTCGTCATATAGGATCATGGCATTCAGTACGTTTTACAACCAACACGTAGCCTCGGTCTGATATGGTACCTCGGTCGGTATCCCTCCCTCGGTTCCGAGATTAGCCTTTCCTCGGTGCCGAGGTGTACCCCGTCCTGGACGTCTCTCCTCTACTCCAGGATAAGCTATTGACGTACAGGTCATTAGCCTAGGCTAGTCTAGGCTATTCATTATGACCTCGTCTTACACAATTAGTGTCAGAACGTACTGGAATGCAGGGGCCACAGCCAATGGGGGATGGACGCGTGGCATACGATATAACATCAAGAACTGAAAAGCCGCATGCCGTTGCTGCCACGCGACTTGGGAACACAAACGATTAATTGCACCACTCCCTTGACGAGACTGCATTCAATGCGGTAAGGCTCGGAAATGAAAGGCAATAAATGCTCCTAATACAGAGCATTTATTTGCATCCTCCCCGAGAGGAGTACATTGTACCGTCGGCATCCCGATGACGCAACATTGATTGCTCGGGACCCCGAGCAGTTAAGAAGAGAAGACATTCCTCATCAGAATCAGTGCGCACACTGCCTGTACCTAATGATCACCTACTGACTACACTGACAACAATCATGAGCTTTTGAGGTATAAATACTCCTTGCAAAAGGCAAGAGGGGTATGCAACAAAAAACTCTTTACTACAATACACACTCAGTGTTTTCTCCTTCCTCTCTCTTTCTCAAAGACTGACTAGATCGTCGGAGGGGATACGCCGGAAAACACTCCGGCGCCCTTCTAACTTGTTCTTTTTCGTTCCAGGAACCTCTTTCAGCCTTACTGGATCGTTCTTCCGCTCCCCCAGGGTCTCCCGTTGCCGTTCCAGGTTACCACCGGACCTCGCAGGCTGTTCCAAGCAGCGTGGTTGGTCACTCAACTGGCTCACTCGAGTTCACCAAGGGAGAGATCTGTTCTCGTTTTTTATATTGTGCAGGATCTTGCACGCACATGTTTCTTCTTCTTATCTTTCTCCTTTTTCTGTTCTTTGATTTCAGAAATATAACCCACGATTTTTTTACCAAAGATTACAACTCAGTTAACTTGATTAACCCTTGAATCAAAAAAAAAAACTTAATCAATGGTGTCGTTTTCGGGTTGATCCATTTACTGCAAATATTTATACTTCAACATAACATACACCTGCATCTTCCCCCTCGTTCCTCCTTTGAGTTGAGCTCTCTGATCCTGCTAGCAAATGTGAAATCTTCGTTTTTTTTTTTCAAGCCCAAAAGTATGACCACCATGACTCAAAACTCAACCCCAGCCACCCAAACTCTACCCAAAAAAGATAAAAACGAACAGTCCCTAGGATATGCAAAAAAACCAGATGGTTCCATTCTCCTATTGACATCCAATTAATCCCAACCCTCTCCCCACTAACTGAAGCTTCCACAGTACCCCAAACCTGTGTTTTCCGTTATGAATCTATTTCAATTTTCATTGTTTTGGTGCTGAAAGTAAAGATTCTGCATCAAGATTGGAGATGTTTTGGGGGACTCCACTTCTTTGAGCTATGCAAAATTGGGAGCGTAGGGCAGTGGACAGTTTATTTGATCCTTATGGTATCCATGTCATAAGCAATAGGGATGATCCTTTATTGATTGGTGGCTTGTAATGGTAAGTTTGATATTAGAATCCTTCTATGAAAGACACTAGGTGTGGAGATACCAGAATTGGTGCTGGTTTTTTGAGAAGGATAAGTGATGGTGTTTCTTTCAAGGGTGCTTTTGTGAAGGATTTCATTCTGTTGAGTGAACATCACTCAGGATTGATTTTTTTCTCTTTAAAGTTGAATAGTTTAAAGGATGGCTGAAGTGAGACACCTCCTAGTGGAGGAATTGGCCTGGGAAGGAAGGTTTCTTTCCTATTAATGCTGGAGTGCTGAACTGCTCATACCACGCTATTTCTAAAGACTCTAAACAGATCCTTGTGTTCAGGCATCCAAACGGCAACCCAACAAACCTTGACTTTCACTGATATTTGCAGAGGGAGTTCCTTGAACGGAGGGGATTGTTTGATGGAGAATGGCACGAGCTGATGAAAGATAATAAGGGTACAGTTTTGCATTGATCCATGGCTGGGAAATTTTGTTCTGGTGCCTCCTACCTGCTCCATTTCCAGGGTTGCTGCTATGAATTGCCCTCTTGATGTTAGTTCTCAAAACATTTTCACTATTTGGAAAAATAACTATTTTGTTTTCCTCTTAGTCAGTTCTTTTTAGTATCAGTGGAGCTTCAGTTTCTTTATAACAGCAGGAACCTCATCTTGCTTGTTTCAAATATCGCAGTCTTATGCATCCATCGTGATCAGACAGTCAAAATTGTCTTATAAAGCACACTGCTTTAAGGTGATATTATCATGTGGTGCCCATGAACCTTGTGAAATTTGACTAATAGTAGATTGCAAATGGTATCATATGAGAATAATTCTTGATAATATTTACTGCGAGGAGTATAGGGGGGAATTAATTGCCTACATATTTTCTTTTATTTATATGTCATCTCATTTCTCAATGTCTCGACTGCCTGTACACTGCAAACCACCCCCACAACACAATCACAAAAAAAAAAAACCACCTAATGCGTTGGCTTGAAAAGGAAGTTTTTTTCCCTTTCTCTTTAAATTCTGCTGTTTTATGACATGGTGCTTACTTCCTTCCAGGTACGAATCCCGCCAAGTATTTTTCAGCAACAAGCAAATGGAAATGTGGAATACGAGGGATGGAGGAGCTAATGTTGAGCTTACATGGTGATATACCTCTGGTTGTTCACTGTTGTATAGTCACCCCATTAGTTGGGATTCTGAGAGACATGTCAAAATGGCCGAAGGATGAGGAAACCCCCTATTCTTTCGTTTGGAAATAATGGTGAGGATACATTATTTCTGCTGTCGAGTAAATCAGTGACACTGCATTATTCTACATCCTTATCAAGCTGTACAATTCACGGGTTCAAGCTGATAACCTGTAAGTGAGGTGGTTAAACTTGATACTCCTTGCTAAGTCTTGGCCTATATAAAGGATTGATTCCTTGTATGCTCCTTTATTGCGTTCATAGTTTATGAGATTAGAATGCCAGGAAAAACTTGTTGTCGCGTATTTTGTCCAAAAGAACAGTGCTGGGCTGCAGATGTAGCTCCAAGTCTCTCCCTCTCTCCCAGCACCTCCATCTTCCACCTCCACATATGGTGATCTGGCTTCACACACAGGACCCATCCATGGCTGACCCACCAACATTCCCCTTTCTTCTTTCTCTGTCGCTACTCTTCGCTATAATTGAATGTAGGCATCCCAACCTCTTTTACCTACCCAGCACCATCACTAAAATGAACCCAATCACAACCACCCGTTGGTGACCCATCTGAAAAATTGTTATAAAACCCATGGTTTACTCTTCTCAAACATCAAAATCCATCAATTTCAGATTTACACAGACCGAACTTTCAATAGCCTTGTGAACTAACCACCTCAAATCTCCAATTGCAAAGAACATTCACAACCCTTTTTTTGGGAACTGGGAACAGTCACCACCTGAGTAGGCGTTTGTGTCTGCAAAGAAGACTGAAGACACGCTCAAGGTACTCAAATGGTGTATTTGGTAGGATGGATGAAAAAATTAAAGGATGAAAATTAGAAGTGATCTATTTTTTTTTCAAGAGATAAATATTTTTTTCTCCTTTGTGTTGGGTAAGAGACATGAGAAATAGAAATGATTGATTTTTTTGTGTCTAGTATGGATAAAAAAATAGAAGAAAAAAAGTATAAATGCATATTTCACTATTGGATTCATTAATGTATACATGATATATAATAGATAAATAAGATATATAAAAGCAAGAAGGACCCACCCCCTGGTTACAAATAAATAATATACATTTCAACACCATATTTATTTCTTCATTATCTTTTTTTGTTTTACCAATTTTTTGAGGAATAGAATTTGACGAGTTAAAAAGTTCATCTTTTTTAATTTTTCAAGATTTTTCATCATTCCCATTTTTTTCTTTCATCCGTCCCCAAACATAATATTTTATTTGTCATTCTCACTTTTGATCTTTTTAATTTTTTGTCTTACCAAACATAGTATAAGGCTAAAGAGAATTTTAAAGGACCTAAATCTACCTCAATATATTTTCATTTTCTTACCTCGTCATTAGTGAGTGACATAGGTCCACTTGATTTCAGAATAGAGGATTCAACAATGAAAATGAAGAAAAAAATGTATCAGAGAAAAATCACTCCCATTTTAAGTGTTTATTGCAGTAGGGTTGAATTGCACATGTCTGTTTTTTTGGTTCAACAATCAAAAATGTCCGGACCAACTTATGTATATCTCAATCAATCTTTTCTCCAGTCCAGTCCAATCAAAGACAGACCATCAACTCCACACAGAACTAGGATATTTGTAAGAGATAACTCCCTCATTATCTAACCATTGAGCACTGACTAAGGCAAACTCTAACTACGAACATTTTCACCAGAGTTCACTTCATCCACTCCTAACAAGAAATTGCACAATTGATCAAAAAAAGAAAAGAAAAGAAAAAAGACATGATGGAAAAATTCATTCGAGAAGCAGATATTAGCCAAGCAGAATGACCAGAGAAAAACATACACTTGCTGCAACCAGAGAAAATTCATGACAAATCATTGGGAGGAAAAACAAATAAGTAAACAACTCAAAGAAACCCCCCTATGCCCACAGCTAGCTTGAGCATGTCTATACCAAGTTTAAGCAATGAGATCAACAAAAAGTAACACAGCAAAAAAAAATGTGTAACCAGAGAAAAGCAACAGTTACACCAACTACAACACACGAAAATTGTGCATTCCAGCAACATTGGTAGGTACAATATACTTGGACAATGATATCATCATTAAAACCCTTGATTTATCAGCAATAGATGCAAAATAAGAAGTTAAAGATCTGCATGCTGAATTTTCTAAATGTAAAAATATGATTGGAAAGAACTCTCAATCTCAGAGTTTGAACTGTTGCGTTCGGAATAAGGGAGGCATTAGAATCCAATAAATCACATGAATCCAATGCTTCTGGTTTAGGGCAAAAAAGACACAAGATAAGAAAAGGAGGATACAAATATTGGGACATTCACTGAATATCAAAGAGCATGTAATCATTCCCACATTGTTTTAGTCAGTCTACCTTTGGCATTAAGTCATAGACAACATAAGATTAGCATTGGCATGGTGAAAAGAGGATAGTTTAAAAGGGTAGTGAAACATAATTTTTTTTTCCCTTCCTGATTCCAAGCCTAAAGTGGACAATGTAAGCCCAATCTGGGAACAGCCAATTGCATGTATTTAAAGATAGAAGAGTAAAGGTCAAAAAATAAAATAAATAATCCACCCAAAACCAAAAATAAACAAACTTTGTGACCACCCCAGAAATCATTTTCCTCCCAAGACTCTTCAGGACTTGCAAGAGGCAGCAGTCTCCAACAAAAATTTGAAAGGCGGCATTATCCTCAAGGTTAAAAGGGACCAACAAGGTGAACCATGAGCTGTTATGGGAATGACAAGCTGACTTGGTAAAACATGAACACTGATCTAGATCTCAGCAATGAAAACCAGGACATCTCAAGTGGAGAACCAGAACAACCTTCTCCCCAAGGAGAGCAATGATTAGCACAAGAAATAGTGGACAGTGGTTGTTAAACTCTTCCAGAGCATCCAAACAACCTGCCACATTTCAAAGAAGAACAAAACTCTTCCTCACTGCGCCTTGCAGAAATTAAAGAGTGAGCAGTGGTGCATTGACTTGAAGTAGGCTTGTCACCATCCAAAAAGCTTTCTCAATTTTAATATGTTTAAACGTTTCCAATTAGGAACAAAGAAAGCCAATCATGTATCCAAAAAGGCCATGAATAGCCAAGTAGCCTGCAAAAAGGTTAACAATGTTAGAAGAAGAGCAACGGAAATTGTACTTCTAAGATGGCCTCTACATCCAAATAGAAAAGAGGCGGGCGACCACTGGTGGACTCCAAAACTAGTTAAATAATAACCAAGAAAATCTAAGTTCTCACCATTACTGTTCAGAGACCCACTTAACACCATGAAACTTTGAGATGTGCAAGTGCCAATGCAAGAAAATCATAAACGAATCCAGCAGGAATATTGCCACTTGTGGTTGCCTATGTAAAAAAGTAGATGTCCAGCAGCAATAATGGCATTCAAAAGTGTAAAGACCAGATTCGAATGTGTATGTCAAGAAAGCATAAGACCCCATTACACCAAACCATCGAACATATTAGGTCACAAAAGTAGAAGATTATTGGTGCCAAGTTTCACACTTTAAAAAGATCAATCCACTACATTGAACCCCTTCGTCATGTCATGAACAAAAGAGATCCAACAGGAAACTTCAAACACTTTGCATCCAGTAGCAGTAGCACCTCCACTTCATTAGCTGCAACAGGACATTAAAGTAGATCCATCAGTACCACATTAACATGGAGATGAGGAATTTCCAAATTATAAGTTGCATACCTCAATTTCAGTAGTTATTTTATCCAGATCAGAAACTTCCAGCACCCCGGCGATCATAAGGTCCAGAACGTTCACGATTATATCGATCACCTCCACCATGACCACCAGAATCCCTGTTGCGTCCACCAAATCGATCTCCAGTCCGATCAGGACCATAACGGCCACCACCACGCCACCGCCACCGCCACCACCACCACCATACCTGTCCTCCCTGCCACCATACCTGCCACCTCGAGCCTCCTCACCTGGACATTCCCTAGCAAAATGCCCTGGCTTACCACACCTATAACATTCTCCACCTCCAGATCCCCTACCACCTCCGGAATCACGATTGCGATCACGACCACGGTCGCGATCACGGGGGCGATCTCTATCGTTGTCTCTACCTGAACCTTGGTTAGGCTGAGCCTTATCCACTGTAATAGTTCGTCCATCCAAATCCATGCCATTCATTTCTTCAATAGCATCTTCCATTGCTTTCTTCTCATCAAAAGTGACAAATCCAAATCCACGAGAGCGTCCAGAGACCTTGTCAAGAACAACCTATATGGAAGAAAGCATTTTATCCAGTAAGAAACATAACAATGTATTCCAAGCATTCACCATAGATCACACACATCATGACATGATCAAAAACTGTAGATGCTTCATGCTAAGAATTAAAAAAAAAAAAAAAAAAACCGGGTGAGTGTGTGAATCATCTGAACCAGTGTTCCTAGAACAGACTCGACCAGCTGGTTGAAACCAGAAACGGCCTGTTAGCGGGTTTGGTCGTCAAATAGGATGCCTTTTTTCATAAACCAGATGGAACCACTCAGGTCACAGCAGAAGCCATCTTAAATTGGATGGATGAACTGTTTTGCCGACCAGAAATGAAAGCCAAAAAAAAAATATCCAAAATTGGAGGCTAACAAGATTTGAATGTGATTCTTATACTTAGAGTTAAGCAACCAGGAAAACAAGTCAACAATCACCATAGTCATCCTTGTGAAACATGAGATGTACAAGGATTTATCTTTTATAAGTAAAGAACTAACACAAAACGCGAAAACATGAGCTCATTAGTCAGATGAGCTGAGTTCAATCAACTAGGTGTTCAGCTTGGTAGGCTCATGAGCCTTGGTCTTATTGCACATTCAATAGCTTCTTACATAGGTTGAAGTGTACTTTCACCTATTCTGATGGTACTCATTTAAGCAAAAAAAATTTACATGACAAAAATAAATTGCAAAGATTTTTGACTTTTCCGGTGAGAGTTTACTAGACACTGTACTTTCATCTGTTTTTTAACATATCTACGAATTATATTGATCTCTCTTTGCATCAATCACCATAAGACATTCCATATGTATTCCTTACATGATAAAATATTGATGTAATCCTATTCCCAAAGAAAAATACTGAATAGAATCCAGTATTAACAAAGTCTAAAACAACACATGGCCCAGAAAGTGTTAAACCATTATACATAATCAGGCCCATGAATCGAGCAGAGTAGCTCAAGGAAAAAGGTCTTACTAGAGCCACAAAGGACACTTGATAAGGGACTGCAATCTGAAAATGTGAGATTTAGAGGAGAAAGGAAAATCGCCAAATTCAGATCAGGCAGATGTTCCAAAAGATGATTTGGAAGGCAATAGTGATATGTACCAAGTTGTAGAATGAAGAAGTGCCACCTCCTGGAAGTTGCTTGTGAATTCTACTGGGAATGAGAGTTCCCTACCACGTACAACAGGCTGCGTATGAATAACAAAGCGCACACACCACACCAGCTTGAGTCAAGAAAGAGCAATGTGGTCACCTAAGCGGAGCTTGAGCACCA